CGTGACGAGAGCGTTTCAAAAAGTGTGATCGGGCGAGAAGAACGGAAGTTGAGAGGGAGGTATTAGTTACGAAAGATAGAAAGAGAGAGAGAGAGTTACGTTTCGTATATTACTATAGGGGCAAGATATGGAGATTCGAGCACACATTTACGGTCGAGAAGGCTCTGAAGATTTAGGGGAAAACTATCATACCTTGTTACTGATTTTAGCAGGAGACTTCATTGTTAATTTCGCCTCCGAAGATGGATAACTCTTGGTGAACTTCAGATAAATAATAACCAGAATGAACCTACCACAAGACATGAAACAACAATCGATGCAGTTTTCTCTAGATATCTTCCTAATTATCATTTAAAGACATATGCATCATTTCTCATACCTCAAGCCTATTGTCTCAGTCTTACATTCAACTACAGTAATTACTGATGTATCCGATAATGAAAATAATAAATAAAAATATAAAATCTATTCAAAAATGTTAATTCATCATTTTATCAATGAAACCCACAATAAATTCAAATGTTTGTGAAAAATAAATATATGTAGATTCAATATACTGAACCGGAACCGATATTATTATTATTATTATTATAACTTGCACGACACATTTCCCCTTCAGTTTGACTTCAGACAGTAGAACACGATATACAATAAGTAATATCATGAATATCATAAAAAATAATCCATTTTAAGTCTCAAAGAGCAATATTGTTATAATACTGAGTCATTTATAGACTATCAGCTCATGTTCCTTACGGCTCTAATTCTCAAGTCTTTTTTAACACCTACAACACCTCATTTACAAAGTTATCTATTTTCACATTCTAGTAAAACCGCAAATGGAGGTATTTCGGTGTTGTTTTACGATATCATTATCTACTAACAAATGGTGCATAGGGCTTGAAAATAGACACCAAGGACGCTTACATAATAAACCCATCATTTAAATACCTATACGTCACACCTGCATAAACATATAGGGAGTGTTCAAAAGTTATGGTCAAAGAAGCTGTGGCAAACATATAGGGAGTGTTCAAAAGTTATGATGAAAGAAGCTGTCGCAATAAACCGGCTTTCATAAAAACGACACAATTCAATATTTTCTATTTTTTCAATGAACAATCTGTGATCGTGTGGTTCAGAACAAAAATATTGTCTCTAGACGCACGTTTCACTAACCAAGTTAGCATCATCAGAAGATAACTCAGTCATTACCAGAGGTTCCAAGTTCTACACATCAGTCCTTTAAATATATATAATATGATTAGATAAGTATTTAATGTTTCTGATAACCCGAGAAACATTATTAATCAAACCTGAAATATTGGTATCATTTCATGGGAGACATAGACAAACAAACCCATTTGTAACAACCCATAATCAAGGGAGTCTTCATAAAGACTCAGCAGTCAGGACTGCTGAAATTTCGAAATAAAATTGTACTCAATAAATTATCTCCCCATTTTCAATGATCCAGAAAGGAAGTTTGGAAAATCCCAAGATACATAATCCAAAATACTTTTTCCATTAAAATACGAAGCCCCCTTTCTTTACTGATGCAATCAGTGATATTCTAACTAGATATTCTGAAGGACAAGTATGTGATAGTAGATTACATGTTTCATTGAAGTGAACTCTGTAGGTTCTTCTTGATAATATGGATGGATGATACAGGGTGACCAAAACGAAATCGAAATAGAGAAACCAATCGTTATCAGAAACTATTTCGAAATTCCAGAAGGAGGCAAGGATCCATTGAACTTTTATTGATGGAGAGGGTATTTTTTAAACTTCGGTTCTTAAGGTGATAATCAATCCTTAACATTCAAATGGCATGTAAGCACTCGTTGATAATTCTTTCACGAAATTCTTCCTAGAGAAACCCTTTGTATTCTACAGATTTTGCTTTCATGCTGTGCACACAGAAAAAATCAAATAAACCAATCGTTATCAGAAACTATTTCGAAATTCCAGAAGGAGGCAAGGATCCATTGAACTTTTATTGATGGAGAGGGTATTTTTTAAACTTCGGCCTACAAGGTGATTATCAATCCTTAATATTCAAATGGCATGTAAACACTCGTTGATAATTCTTTCACGAAATTCTTCCTAGAGAAACCCTTTGTATTCTACAGATTTTGCTTTCATGCTGTGCACACAGAAAAAATCAAAAGGCGGCAAATCTGGTGACCGTGGAATTGATTCACGCTGCCTCCTCTCATAATCCAGATCTGTGAAAAATGTTGATCTGAAAATTGAAAAAAATCAAGATACAATACAAAAACATGGACTCCAGAAGTGAAAACGACTGTACACTACTAGAACTTTGTGGTGTGGCGAAGAAATTGATATTTTTCGAAAGGTCATCGCGTAAAAATAAAATAAAATAATTTGAAACTGGAATACTTTCATGTTGCACTATTTTGCATTATCAATATTGGCGTGGTCGGGAGAATAAACTGGAATAATAATAATAATCTGATTCAAGTCCTGTGAATTATATCTGATTCAATTCCTTAACGAATGTTTGGAGTAAAAACTGACTAGGAAAAAGTATTTATTGTATAGTTCAATTTTCAAATGAAACCAGTTGTTTCGAAAGTACTTTTTCGTAATTATTGTTTACTTGTGTAGTAGTTGTTTCGAGAAAGCTTTTCCTTACAGTTCGTGTCTGAAAGTAACTCCTATGCATGATCTAAATAGTCTATTTTGAAATTAGTTGCTTTCTTCCTTCCTTTGGAAGTTTCTCTTCCAAGAACTTCTCTCTCCTAACAGTATACCTCTCCCAATTTCAATATAGGTATATACATTAACATTAAACACGATTTGAAATCGAAGAAAATATAAATGAATGAAGTATTCAAAACAAAAACAAATATACAAATATTACGAAACGTGAAAATATAAAGCACTAATTTGTGAAGGAAACAAATAATTGTGACTCAAAATGGATGTCAATTAATAACAAATACTGAAGTTAAATGTGAATATAAAGAGACTAGTTGTTGCCCGCGGCTTCGCCCGCGTAGAATTTCCCAAAACTTCAGGTTTCTATCTTCAAAACTGACGAAATTGAATACAATCTTTGAAACCCTATTTTACCTCCTTGGGGCTGAAAATTTCTGATTCCCTTTCTTGATGCTTATTTACGCTATAGAAGGAACCTACCTGCATATTTCAAGATTGTAGGTTCAGTAGCTTCGGCTGTACATTAATATGAGACCAAGCAATAGCTAGTACCTAATTTATATTTTTACTGCAACCGCCACGCTACCCCCGCGCGTCGTCCCCCATCATCTTACAGTAGACGCGATGTATAATGGCTTACTGTGTTGTATCGAGTTAATCTTATCGTGATGACTTTTAAACGATTCGTTAAAATTACTTACTGTAAAAGACAACTTTCATCTATATTAAATACTTGAAACGACAATTGTATCAATTTGTAAATTGTGAAAAAAGTATCCAATTTAATTGTATTTGTGGCTCAGTATTTTGCATATAGTGACTACCACATAAGGATAGATATATGGTATCCCAAACTTTTATTTAGAACTGTTTAAGATGCAGCGGTATATGCAACGCACGACAAGATAACTCTCAAGGAGCAAGAGTTTTTCCAACTTACTTAATACTTATCCTTATATTATGACAAAAATTACACAAAACCTTTGGAAATTGTAGCCTATATGTTATTCTGATATATAAGCCGTATTTATGTAAAGTTTCATCTGAATCCGTTTAGTTGTTTAGGCGTGAAAAAGCCACAAACATACATACATACATTATAACTCCAAACGGAGTTGCGGGTATCAACAATTGTCTTCTATAGTTGACTGGCTCATTACTGAAGCTTGAGAACAAATGTGGACTGTCTCTCACTCTCTGCCTTTAGATAATACGGTTTTTCGATTCAATAAACTACAATCCGTTTTGCTGCTTGATGAGAAATTTCCACACCTTGCGGATTTGTACACTGTTCTGGCCGAGAGCTTCGTTACTCAATATATACTCAGCTTCTTTGATCTAGTGGTTCTTCTAGCAGATAATTTAAAATTCCTTTATCGTCAACAACTTCCTGGTTTTGCCAGTTTAAGGGTTGCTGCCTCAACATGGTGTCCAATAAAAGCAAATCTTCAAGCCGTTAGAAATGACAATGATTCATCCCCTTCTTATCGTCATCTATGGGATGAACAAAAGATTCAATGATAAACGAGGCTCCAAAAGGCAGTTCGTTGCAAAGCCAAGCTTTGGCCGTTGAATGAGATTGATTCTCTGTCTTTCTTTGCAACTTTCAATGTGAATAACTCGTAATTTTTGTTCTCTTGTTTCGAACTTGAAGTCGTCCACGATTGGTAGCTTGATTTTCCTCAGGATGATTAGAAGGAACGCCCAGATCTGAAGCAAATTCTGATGCTGCATTCAGATTCAATTCATCTCATCTTCTTTGACATTCCTATGTCGCGAGAAAGGGTGTAATAGCTAATATTATGTTATTTGGAGTATCCATTCTGTTGAAAATTCAACTTGATGTGGCTTAGTTCTGTGATGTAGAATGAAGATCTTTAGATTGAGATGCTTCCTCATTTCATTGGTTATTTGAATGAATAAAAGCAAATATAACTGATTCGTGATTCTGGACCTCACGTTGAGGTCCAGAGTCCATGATTGCATACTATAGAAGTATAGTGAGGCCCGGATTTTCAATTGCCACCTCTTCTAATTTTTCAATTTCGTGTCAGAATAGTAATGAATTTTGATATCACTTCTTGAATTCAAAATGGTGTTAACAGTGCTCGTAAACCAAAACTTCATACTTTCATGTTATAATGCTGTTAAGAAAATACGTGTTATCACTATTACATTTCTGCTCCAAGTTTTCTTGCCTGTTTCATTTGATCCCTCCTCACAAAATCCCAAACTATTCCTCCCCATCTTCAGGAAGTACCTCGTAACATCCGCAACTCCACCACCTATTCACTTCAGTTCTGGCAAATATGTGCACGGTTTCGCCTCATTTCGATCAGTCTTCGATGTTGAATCGATGCCGCGTTTCGGCTATCGGAATCGGAGGTAATGTTTTTGCAAAATTACTGCAATCGCAAATCTAAGAATGTGTGCTGACCATAATGATTTCGATTATTTGGTGTTTGCTTCTAGTTAAAGTTAGTAACGGTAAGTTTATCAGCACTATGTCAATGTTTGTTTTGCAAAACAATGCCATTGATTAGGCAAATCTGAAATATTTAGAGCATAGGTAACCAGATTGAAAGAAATATTACAGTTAGGGCGCCTGAAAGTATATAAAATTTGATATAAAATATTTCAGAACTCTCAGAAGTACAATGTTACCTCGTTATCCTTCCCAGCTTTGTTTCTTTTCAGATATTTCATTTTTTTCATCAATATAATTGCACTCAAGAGGAAAAAATTATCAATTATTTAGTCAAAACTTAAAGTTTAGAGAATATGAAGAGGAAGTCTTCATAATTTCTCTGTTCTGTTCCATTTCTCAGAATATGATTTTGACTGAAAAATCCTTTTGCACTTTCTCAATCTAAGTGACCTATTCAATATTTAAAGCAATGTTGGAAAAGATATCTTCATTCATAATATAACTTTAATTCTATGCATAGGTATCAGCTCTTTTTTCACCAATAATTGAATTATTCTCCAATTTTATTCTCCATTTAAATTTGTTTTTAAAGCAAGTTTTGCTGCAAATTTCAAAGAGATATTTAGAGTTAATGATTGTCTTCGAGATCTGAAAATGGAACTTTCAACAGATGATGATCGACTGTATTGCCAAACATGCGCCAAACTAACTGACTGTTATAAGAAAACAACTATAGCTGAGGCACTTATGATCTTCAAACATGACTCAACCTCTGACAGAAGCACCAAAGGAAGGTTCGAAATTGATGAACACTTCAATCTAACTGACCACTATTATAATCTTCATGCAGCCATTGTTCACTGTGGTTCTGGCGTTGAATCTGGTCATTATTACGCCTTGGCCAAAGACGAAACAGACTAGTTTAAGTTTGACAATAGTCATGTCACTAAGTGTTCTAGCGATGTATTGAATTTATTGGAGCCTCTGGAGACACCCTACATTTTGTTTTATGAGAGAGAGGACATTGGCAGATCAACATCTTCAGATGATGTAGTGCTGCAGATTTTTCCGGGTTTGCCTGTAGCTGAAAAAGCAAATGCGCCACTGGAATCAATAAAGTCGCCCCGGAGCGCCAATTAATTTTTGTTGTTGTTTTATGATTTCATGATTTGTATTTTGGAACTTCAAGTAAATTTTCTTATCAGATATGTACAATATTATCCTTTACTTTCTTTGAGACATCTCTGACGGATAATTGTATGACCTGAGTATAATGTTTTTCCGAAAGAAGTGTGGAAAAATACTTGTGTTGTGATGATTGTTATGACGATGAATAACATTGATGAAAAAAACTAGATATTCGTATTGAGAAAATGCTGATGATGGAAAAAACGTTGCATCATCGTAACAGACTTGAACGAGCAAAGAAGGCTCATCTGCCCTCATATTATTTGAAATGAGGACGGTAGCCAACAAAAGAAATCGGACAATTTTAGTTTTTATGAATATCTCAAAAACGGCAATTTTTCTATTTGTGATATGATAGGTTGGGTTAGGTTAGGTCCAAAATGAGTGGGTCTATTTGACCCCCATTGCAACCCGCAAGGGTTTATTGTGGCTCACACATATTCAAAGTCAACCAAATAAACCCAGTTTTTTAACGAAGACGATAAGTTTGTATGGTGAGTGGTCTTTCAGGTCAAATGATAAGAGTACGACTCTGCCGAACTCTAAAAACCTGATTCGGTTCCCAGGCACAAAGTATGTGCTCTGCTGTCTCATCATTTTCCAAACAGAGGCGACACACACTATCTTCCGACAGTCCGAGTCTCTGCATACGATGATTCAAACGACAGTGACCTGTAAGAAGGCCTGTTAGACACCGTAGTTCTTCCCTTCTGTAGTCCAACAACTGTTTGGTATCAAGCTTCGAAGGGTGAATAAACGCCTTGAAGTGAGCCAATTTGTTGTATGAAAAAAGATTTTCATTGTCTCCTTAAATTGGCAACTTTCGCCAAATGCAAGCAATCTTGTAAAAACGATCTGTATTTCGACACATATTTGCAAAGGCTTCTCGTTATCTAGTAGCAAAAATGCTAAAATTTCACGGGCGATCTCCTATAGACCGATTTCGGATTATTCACTCATCATCAGTAAGGATGAGAGCTCCTCTAGGTAGCATTTGAGCTGTCTGGTGTACTGATTGATTTGATCGAATATCTAGGTACCTCAATAAGCAACTACGTCTCAGCACGAACATGAAATGGTATTAGTTCCATCTTGAAAATAAAGCCATAAGCAGAGATGAAACAAACGTTTACCATCAACGAAATACTTAGTGTCAGTTATATCTTGGGAACAGAGGCCCTAAAGAGGGATGTAGCACCCCTTAACAATCAGTCGAATTATTTCTCTGAATGAGGTTATTTGTCAATAAATGGAACTTGTACTATTGAAATAATGAGAAGAAATTCGTTTCCTAATTTCCATTTCAATAAACATAATCACCGATAACAAAGCTTTTAAACCCATCGCATAAATATACTATTATTTTTTTATCTGAATGACGAAACAAAATATATATGTACAACAACCATGGTGACTAATTCCTTACTCAAAACTACAATTACACGGGTTATATCTCATCTACGTCAACGAATTCAACCTGTAATTACTGAAACATTGATATACAATGCGCGAATAAATAAAGAAAAGAATTTTTGTTGGTGGGGAAAAAGAAGGTACTTAACGTTAATTCTTCACTCTATGAAAAATTCTTGAATATTTGTTTTCTCAGAATTTTGCAGGACGTGAAATGATGATAATAAGAATAATAATATTTATTTGTAGTTATTCATTACATATGAATACAATAATTATTCAATCGATAAAAATAATTAAGAAAAACTACAAATGAGGCTAGAAACAACATGTACCGAAAGGGTACTGTTGATCTTAGTTCTAGGCTTGAATAAAAGAAAACTAAACTAGAGAAAAAAACAAAGAAAAAAAAGAAGAGAAAAAAAAGAGGAAGGAGAGAGAGGAAAGAGGGAGAGAAATGTTATTACTGAAAATTTTTCAGAAGTATAAAATCTATGAAATCAATGACATTCTGATTGAGCNCAATCTGTTAAGTATTCCTATTGAGGAGAGTCGTTTTTGGCAATTTGCTACCAATTAAGACGTTGCTCGGTAGGGGCCAAGAGCTTCCAACGCTGCTTGACTGTCCGAGAATATTTTTATTGACTTATTGACTTATGAGGTTGGATTCTTCCAACCTCTCGGCATACAATTCAATAGTAAATTTCCGCTTGAAATATTGAACGATGTTATATTACACACATAATGCCATCAATAGGTCTTTCAAACGAATGATAAATTTTGATGATATATTTCACACACTTTGTTTTATTTAAATTCACAAATAGAAAGCGATTAATGAAAGGCGCTGTATAAATATAAGTTTCTGACTACATTTGTACTGAAATTTTCAGGTGCTAACGTTTTTATATATATATACTATTTTTTAAATTACTGTTATGATAATTTCATACATCATTACTAGGTACAAAATGTTGGTCACAATTACTCAAAACACATTTATTGATTTCAATAGGATCATTAAGTCTTTCTGGCAAGATGATCGAGAAGTATTCATTCTTACTCATTGTAGCATTTATCACAGCAAATTTTCCAATAAAAATGGTTGAAATCAGATTGATATTTTAGTCCATCGTAATAGTTGCTTCATAGTACAATTCCATAATATTAGGCACTAAATTCTCAGAAATATTATTGCATTAAGAAAAAAACATTAGTGTTAAAGTTGTGATTTTATATATTTCATCGTCATTTTCCTCTTTTGTTTAGTATAATTTCCGTACCACACTGCAAGAGACAGATTAAGGCAAAAACGTCAGTCATTTTTGGAATTGAAGTCATTTTTGGAATTATAGTATAGCTTAGGTAAAACCTCTAATCCTCAGTAATTACCTGCATTCTGAAATTATTTAATGACGCAGTATCAGTGTACGAGGATGAGGATGACAAGGAAAGCATCATTCGCATATCTAATTGACCTAATTTAACCTTCTCAAAACTTCATCCGATTTTGGGCCAATGCAACTACTAACATCTCCGATTTTTACTTATTTCCCTGTATGGAGTGACGGAACCAGGTAACTGGTTATTTGAGTAAATAAAGAAGTAAGAATATGTATGTTGAAAAACAATAAAAATATCAAACCAAACAATAACGCCCAGTTTATGAAAAATTAGTTTGTATGAAATAAATATTATCATGTTCATAGTGAATATTGTGTTGAATAACTGTTCAATAAAATGTTGTTTTTTGTTCTCTGTCTTTTTTCATCCCTACCTTTTGGGTTTTCAGTAGAGCCGGTTCAGATAAGCTACAATATTTTCTGTCGCTGAAGATTTTATTTCAATCGTATCAATACCAATTCCTGGTGGATTAGTCTACCTGAGTTTGATGACAATTTTTTCCGACAGTTCATAACAGATACAGATATAGTTCAATTTAAAGATGGGAAAGCAATGATTGTAACTAACGGCTGCTTCTCTTTAGGACCAATATATGTTTCATCAGTTTGGTCGTACTGTTATTCTGTTGAAGACGATATCAATTCATTGTTGGAATTTGTGCAAAGATGCAAATAAATCATGCAATTCGCTGTGATTTCTTTTTCACGGATTGATGTTAATTGTATTGGTAATTCAGGTAATATCGCTTCATAGTTTTCTATGGATGGTTTCGAAGTATTCAACTGTTAATGTGAAGAGCCAACTTCCCTATCTGATCCATATAAGTCACCAACTTTCGACCGAAAAGTAACGAGTTCGAATCTGCAACCGACCAGATATTTTTCTCACGACAATTCATATTTTTTGCTACATGAGAGCAATCTGACATACATTTCAGTCTCTGGAAAACACTTCACCCTCATGAGTATATGGCGATTTTTAATTATTTTTTTGATGATATCCATTCCAACAATCTTGTTTCCTGTACTAGTTTGTATTGGTCCTTTATTGCATGTTTGTTATATTCTGCTGGACATAATTTTGGTTGTCCATTGGTTGTTTGTCTCCTGTGAGCCGTGGCCTCACATGACAATCTGTCTTTGTAAGGCAATTTTTTCTATTGAAGAAATATTTATTTCTATCTTTTGATATTCATGAAACAGTTTATAAAATTTCGAATTTAGGGGATATTTAATAACTTGTTGGTTTTGAAACACCAACACTGTTCTAAGGGTCTCCCAACAGGGACTTCCGAACCGAGTTTTCGAATTGATAACGGCCATCTTATTGAAGCTACATCTGTCACATTAGTTTTCATTTATTCAGTCTGATTTGCCAAATCACCATGAATGGGTATAGCATTAATCAACACGTGCAAATAATAATTTTTTTACCAAAATGGATGTTCTGTTCGTGCAACGTACCGCGCGCTTCGCTCATTTCACCGTCGCCATAATCGTCCTACCGAGAGGACTATTCGCAATGTGGTGGATAGATTTTCATCGAAATATCATCTTTAGCGATGAGGTCCATTTCTGGATCTTTGTCTATAGTCACATAGCCCCTTGTATCTGTTATAAACTGTGGCGGAAAAAGTTAGGCATTCAAAGAATATGGTGGAGATATTTCTCTAACCCTCAAGATGAGTTTGCACTCTTAGAATATATTGCCTAGGTTAGGTTAGGTTAGGTCCAAAGTGAGTGGGTCTATTCGACTCTCCACCGCGACCAGCAAGGGTTTGTTGTGGTTCACACCTATTCTCACTCGGCCAAACAAATCCAGCTTCTTAATGAAGCCGATTAGTCTGTTTGGTTAGTGGTCTTTCAGGTCAGATGGTAAGAGTACGGCTCTGCCGAACTCTAAAGACCTGAACCGGCCCCCAGCGGGGCAGGCACAAAGTATATACTCTTCTAATTAGGTAGTGAGATAGTCAAGTTGCAAGATTCCCACCTTGATACCCACGACAACCTTCCCCTATGAGGGTTTTTGCACGTCAGCTACACCTGACGATGCCTTAGATTCAGCCATGCAGGGCTTTTTTCGCCTCTGGTTTTGATGAGACCTCACTTGAGCGCAAACATTTACTAACCTGCTCATGGGAGGTTACTTCCCCCACCTGAGACAGATTTTGCGTACGCCGCAACTCTCTCTCCTGAACTAAATTTACAGTGAGGTCCAACTCTACATCCATCTTCTCTGTAGACTCGCTCCTGAACTAAATTTACAGGGAGGTCAGTTGGAGTCGTAAACTCGACATCCATCTCCTCTGTAGACTCGCTCCTGAACTAAATTTACAGGGAGGTCAGTTGGAGTCGTAAACTCGACATCCATCTTCTCTGTAGACTCGCTCCTGAACTAAATTTACAGGGAGGTCAGTTGGAGTCGTAAACTCGACATCCATCTCCTCTGTAGACTCGCTCCTGAACTAAATTTACAGGAAGGCCCGTTGGAGTCGTAAACTCGACATCCATCTCCTCTGTAGGCTCGCTCCCAAACTACCTAGGTAGTAACATCTTTACATCTCAACAAACAAAATTGTTGAATTTGGTACGATAACAATCCACATGAGATCCAAGAGCGTTCAATACGTCCTGAAAAAGACACTATTTGGTCTGGATTTTGGGCTGGCGACGTCATCGGCCCTTATTTCATTGAGAAAGACGTTGGCCAGGCCATCACTGTCAACGGCGAGCATTGTTGTAGGTCGATGATTACCAACTTCTTTTGGCCTGAATTTGATGGTCTGCATACCAAAGACATTGGATATGATTTGAGGTCATGGTCATCTCACGTGGAGGTGATGTGAAATGGCCACCGATATACTTCAATTTGACCCCATTAGACTTTTTTTGTGTTGTGGTGTTTTCTCAAGTCGCAGATGTATGCGAATTATCTACAAATCACAGCAGTCCTCAAAGCCAACATACCCCTTCCATCCCCCAGAGTCATGAAAAATTGGACGTTTCGTATGCGCTCCACTCAAAGAAACCGTGGTGACCATTTGAACGAGTTTAGGTTAGATTAGGTCCAAAGTAAGTGGGTCTAGTCGACCCTCCACCGCAACACACAAGGGTTTATTGTAGCTCACACCTATTCACACTCGACCAAATAAACCCAGCTTCTTAACAAAGCCGATTAGTTTGTATGATGAGTGGTCTTTCAGGTCAGATATTAAGAGTTCGGCTGGTCGAATCCAGTCCAGAGACAATCTGTTAAGTATTCCTATTGAGGAGAGTCGTTTTTGGCAATTTGCTACCAATTAAGACGTTGCTCGGTAGGGGCCAAGAGCTTCCAACGCTGCTTGACTTTCCGAGAATATTTTTATTGACTTATTGACTTATGAGGTTGGATTCTTCCAACCTCTCGGCATACAATTCAATAGTAAATTTCCGCTTGAAATATTGAATGATGTTATATTACACACATAATGCCATCAATAGGTCTTTCAAACGAATGATAAATTTTGATGATATATTTCACACACTTTGTTTTATTTAAATTCACAAATAGAAAGCGATTAATGAAAGGCGCTGTATAAATATAAGTTTCTGACTACATTTGTACTGAAATTTTCAGGTGCTAACGTTTTCAACTGTCCCACTTCGGATGTAAAGTTTGAAAAAGTGTTGGGCTTACGCCCGTCGAGCTCTATCAACCCTCAGTTGCTTTACAAACTTGAAGAAAACGTTCCTCCCAGACCCATTACTCTTGATTGTTTGACAAAGTGCCAATCTAATGATAGATGTAGGAGTTTCGTGTTATACCCTTCGCAATGTAATTGGTTCGATCGAGATTTTAGTGAAGAGGATGAATCTGATTATATTATAGACGAGAATGCAGCCTGGTTTATTAAGAGCTGCTATTCGACTGGTAAGTTCGTTGAATAATGGTTTTTGTAACACTTCATTGTGATATTTTTACTAAGTACTTCACAAAACCGTAACATGTTCTTAGGAGGTAGTGAGTGATGAAAATTTCCTTCATTTTAAATTTCTACGTATATTGTTAATATAAAAACATAGATTCAAATTCAAAGGGGTATACATTTAGGAGAGATTGTTTTTTGACAAACAAATCGTTTGGCTTTCTACTTCTACATTTTTATATAAAAAATGTTGGAATCTTCCAAAGAAAGGAAGAAATCAATCAATTTCAAACAAGTAACTCATACAAAGATGTGTAGATCGTGCAAAGAAGTATCTTTCAGACACAGATTGAAAGAAAAAGCGCTCCCCAAACAACTACTTTCATATAAACATTGAATCTGGTATCTGTAAAGTAGGGAGGGTGAGTGTAGACTAACAGCACTTAGGCCACATGTGACCCATAGTACATCCTCCCGAGGAGTTGTCCTCCTAGGTCATCGTCCTTCCTGTCCTTTCCAGCAAGGTGAACAGGTCACTAGGAGACATCTCCTTCATATTGGCAGGTGTAGGCCAAGACTTGCCCGAACACACACTTTCTTTGGCAACCTTGAGGTGTCTCACGGTGGCATCCGCGAAGGTTTTGAAAGGTGCAGCGACATTACTATCGTTGCGCGGCTTATTCAACCTTCTCGGGGTTCCCTCCGTGGAGATGCACAAATGAGGGAGCTGCCACTTCCGCTCTCTTTCTCCTTTTGGCCTCGGCGCCGCAAATGCGCTTACGCATTGGCCTTTGTATTACATCACGAGGTGATCTGCTATGTCCAGCCTCATTCCAAGAGGTAGATTGGGGTGGACATTTCAGTTCATCTCCAGCCACCGCCTTAGATTGAGGTGAGCACTTCTGTCCAGCCTCGGGATTGGTTTTTGTTTTTGTTGGTTATTTCTTATTTCTGCCACTGACCAGGAGTCCGGTGACCCCGTCCGTAAGGCCACATTGGCTTCTCGGTCAGGCCTCCAGTCCCCTGGCCGTTTCCCTTTCCGCCACCTGGGGTCACGCCCGATAGGTATCCCAACCCACGGGATATAAACATTGAATTACAATTCAGTTTGTTTTCTAAACATTCGTTATAGAATTGAATCAGGTACCATTGTTAGGATTGCTACACAACAAAATAACTGAAAGAGGTAAAATTCAACTCACATTGAACACTGTCATCTTCAATTGTCTGGAATATCCGATGTCTCGGAATAAGACACTTGTCTTTTATTGCCTCTTCAGCACCTATTTGGATATTATCAACAGATATGTCAGACTTTATGTCACGGATAAGACAAAGCTACTCATGTTACAATCCCAGCTATAGGAGTCTTATTTGAATTGTAAAGGGTATATTTTTAGGGGATATCAGTTATTGCCTCTCCAGCACCAATCTGGATAACATTATGAGATGAAGCACCCAATTCATTAATAAAATTACATCTTTATATCATGAATGTGTCATTCATGTCATCTATGACAGTACGTAATGACATTCATTTGTTTATTTGATTAAATGCCAGCATAGGAATCTTGTTTAAGTTGAAAGGGGTATATTTTTAAGAGAGACTAATTTTTGGGAAAGGAAGATTTTGGCTTTCTTCTTTTCTCTAGAAGAATACCACATTTTTTAAATGGAGATAGATAAGTGGATAGCGAAAGGTGATGAAAGAAGAAGTACGTACATCTGTCTTCAACAAATTTGCGAGAACAATAAATATGAAAAAAATATTGTTAGTTTAGTAAAATTTTCCGTCGATTCTATACCTGGACCACATCGCAGTGGATCCAAGCTCCACTGGCTTGATATTTTCACCCCAATTCAATGTTTTGTCGGTGGTTGATTTATACAATGACAAACAAAAATTTTATTTACGGACGTGGCAAATTTTTCACGAGATGGTATTATTATAAACTTTCACAACGACCATTTTTGGCCAACAAAAATCATTTTCAGCTACAGATGGGTAGGAATTATTGATGACTTCATAAAAATCGGTTGGTTTTTCCACCAGCAAGATCAATAGATGAATCCTACAAGGACTGTTTGCAAGACGGGAAGAAACTCCAGCCCATTTCAGTGTTCTTGGGCGTCAGCATTTCGACATCACGTATTCTAATCGTTGGGTTGGACGTGAAGCACCTCAAAATTGGCCAGCTCGCAGTCCTGATATGAATTTTCCAGATGTCTATTTATGGGTTCATCTGAAGGCTCTTGTTCATAAAAATTATGTACTAGATGTGAATGACTTGAGGAAAAGAGTAATTAACAATTGCAATGTCATAAGGAAGATTGTAGGTATTTTTTAACGTGTCAGACAATCAGTGACAAATAGATTACAGTCGTGTATTTTATCAGAAGGTAGATATTTTGCTCATCACTTCAAGGTGGAAATTTTTGATTTTTCATTTTTATTTCATGTTGTCCATGCATAGTTTTTATAATGAGTTTGAATTTATTTTTTCGAAAATGAAGCAAGATATGGAAAAACTAGAAAACAGAAAGTAGTATTTACGAAAAACAAGGCGGCGGCGTACTTTATTTTCAATATTATGAAATGTGTTGCCCACTGAGACTCCACTGGACCTAATAATTCCAATTCAGGGCTAGTTAGTGCTAAATAAGCTTATCACTCAAAATAATTGTACCAATTTATTAGAATAGTTTGATATTCTGACTTCGACTATTTTTGATCAATGTATACAATGGATTGTGATTGTGATGGATTGATTTATTTTTCAATAATTCACGCAAAATTCTATTATTATATCTGTTTTAGGACAATGTGATAAATTGTGGATTTTTGAAAGGATACCTGGAGCCACATTGGTAGGAAACGACGCCAAAACACTACCAGGAACATATTCAAGATCCGATTGTCAACAATACTGCCTTAATGAAACTGACTTTTCATGTAGATCAGTTAAATTTAGAATAACCCAAACAAGCCACAATGCGAATATACAGGGACTCTGTACTCTGAGTAATATGGATCGTCATCAACTGCCAAGTTCCTACAGGGTATCTGGATATGATGATGAATACTTTGAAAACCAGTGTGTGAGTCAAGATCGTCAAAATATCAGTGAGTATTATCCATCTTTCCAAACAGAAAACAAAATAGTTTAGTTTTTTCGACTGACGTCCCCATACGAACGATGAAACTTCTTCGAGCTAAGTGTTAACGAGGTTTCACGTTTTCGCGTGCGATTCTAGCAGATAAAGAACCTATTAATTGAAAAAATCGGTACATTTGAGAAAGCAAATTTCAAGATACATGATTAAACATAAACTCATTCATCAATTTTGTCTGATCCAAACAATTTTTTAAATAAGTGTTATTCAATTCCAGACGATACCGTGATAATTTTTAATTTTAATTCTTATAAATTCTTATCATCGGTATCCAATTGTACAACACAGAAATTTTAAAAATTCTCGAAATCATAACTTTTGGAGGGAGTTATAACATAATTCTATTGAGGACTGTTTAAAAAAAACATCTGTTTTTCCGTTAATCAGCTGTCGCCCCCATACGAACGAGAACTCTCAGTAGTTGAGAAACTTGTGCGAGCTAAGGACAACGAGGTCTAACCTTTTAACGTGTGGTTCCTAACACGTTCCTATTCATTCACTTTCTTCCAGATGGTGATTTTTGTGCCTATGAAGAATACGCTAACATAACTTTAGCTCATAGTGACATAGCATATCAGCAAAAAACGAAAGAAGAGTGCCAGAACATATGTGAAACTTTCAAAACTTTCAACTGCCGAGGATTCAGTTTTATAAATAATAATTTATGTTACCTGCACAGCGAAGATAGTAAAATTTTTGGACCAATTCTTTTGAGAGACCAGAAAAATTCGGTTTACTATGAAAAAGCAAGCTGTTTGAACGGTAAGTATTTCATCATCTTCTTTGACTGATTATTACGGCTGATTTTCTTTTATTGAACTGTCTTTCAAGCTCAGAAAATCACGAAAGATTCGAGTCATGGTACAGTCTTGTATTACTGATATGTGTTTTAGTTTAATCCACTTTTCATTCTCCTGAAAAATTCTAGAACCAATTTTTTTCACAATATATTCAAATGATCCACTGCAGATATCAACAAAAGGAACAATTTTGAACTTTGCTGGTAATACAACAATCCTGTATACCGACTCTTCATGAAGTCAATTAAAAACGTATACAAAAAAGGATTCCATTGAAATTGAAAAGTGTGTTTGTCACAATATTCACTATGAATTTCAAAAAAAACACATTTAGTTGCCATTCATATCATATTTTAATACATTACCCATTATAAACATTCAAGTATAGGAAACAGTTATCAAATATCTGAAAGCTAAGTCAATAAAATATCTAGGTTCTAGGTATTTACTTAGATGGGTTCTACAGTTGAAAGATTTTTTTTCGTCAACCAGCTCTTCCCCCTACGAACGACAACCCTCAAAAGCGAAACTTGTGCGAGTAAAGGATTAACGAGGACCCACCTTTCAACGTGTGATTCCTAGCAAACATTCATACATTGAATTTATAATTTTTTTTCATAAACAGGTTATGGATGTATATGGCTTTTGAGATTATACTATCATTTTTTTTTTTCAGCACTACATGTAACTCTTTATCAATGTATACAAAAATAAATATTATTATAATGATTGTATAATTATGTGTTTTCATTAATACATCAACACTATCATTTTTTTTCAGTAAGTGTTTCATGCAGTGAAACGTACATGTCAATACGTTATGATCCAGAAACAGACTTCATTGGTAAAATGTATATACAAGGATATTCAGAAAGTCCGCCGTGTTTTTCGAATGGTAAAGGGAAATATGAAATAGTGTCCCTTAACATTCCTTTGGTATCTGGAAAATGTGGAATCATCAAAGCTGAAGGGCCGTTTAATAGGTAGCTATAATATATGATGAAATTGGCCGATATTTGATGAAAATCTATAACTAACGTATTCAAAAAACACTTCAGGCGTGTCTTTACACGCACGAAGAAGCTATTGTATGGTGAAACACGTGTTGCGTTTTTGTAAAATCGTTCATTGAAAATCTCACAATAAAATATTTTTTGAATACGATGGTAGCTATAAAGTATAGTCAGAACACTAAAAAAGTGGATAACTGTTCGGAACAAAAATGCATGTTTTTCGAAAGTACTTTTTCGGTTGGCTTCTGGGTGCAAATCAAATTTTTCGAATCAGTTTTTTGAAATCCTAATTTTAGACAATTATTTGAACATTGGGATTTTTCAGAACATTACTCACAGGCATCTTACTAATACAATACAACCAAATCGTTCAGACTCAAAGTGACAGAATAATCAGAGTCGGGTGCATTTTTGGAAACGATACCAAATTGGTGATTGGAACAGGAGTGAAAATCTCACCGTGAGTATTTTTTGGATCACGAGACTCTAAATATATTTCAAATTTAGCTCTTGCGCCACCACTGAATAAATGCTACTGATTTTACAGCTTGAGTAAATGACTGCAGCCCCTAATGAGGGTTAATCAGCTCGAGATACACCTCCTCGCTAACCTCACTTCTTGAACATCTAATGGTTTTTTGTTGTTCAATAATGTGTAATATGTTGTGATTCCCTCAAATCATTTCGAACACTCAAAACAATTTTAATGACTCATGAAAATACTTCTTTATTTTACAATTCAGTTTGTGAAAATACCTAATGTGTTCACTATAGATGATAAACAAATTCAGCCATTAATATTCATTTTTTTCAACCCTCTGTAGCATTACCTATAATGGTAATATCTTATATTTATTCGAACCCAAATGATATATTCATTTCTATCATATCATATCAAATTGGTATGACAAGAATTGTGAAAAACAAGTTGTATAAAATCTTTCGCTTGTTTTATTTTCCAGTTTCCAGCTCTATTGAATCGAATATATGTCTTCTCTGGATATTTTATATTATAAATTCAGTATATTCAAGTTATACTCTCGTGGAGTATTTCGAATGAACCACAGATGATTCACGTCAACAGTGAGCACTTTCAACCGAGGAAACTCATTATCACTAGCAAAGAAGTTTTTTGAGTGGATCACATTACTTGAAGCTCCTGAATTCCATCCAGAAATAAAGAGCTATCCGCCTGATTGGGGACACGAACATCACTTGCAACCTTGATAGTCTGAAACATCAAAGGAAGGTTGGGATTTGTTTCTCTTTTATAGATACTTTCACGGGAGGTGTTCAAGTGACTTGGCACATTTGATTCCACCAATAACGGTACATATCAGAAATACAAAACGGACTATGGCTGCTCAACGTTTTGAGGTTCAACTCAGTACACCTCAAACTTCACTATTTGAAAACTCTTCCATTTGGAGAACTGCGTTTATGTAGAAAAAAACTGAGAACGTATTTCCAAATTAATTTAATCTCCAGCGATTCGAATCCATCGTGAATCGCTACTTTCGCACAGGCACCGCTTTTAAAGCGCCTTAAGGAGTTTCCTGTAGTGCTTGTGCTTTGTCCTTAAAAAAAGGATACTTTCATTGAATATATTCTATTTAGAGGACACCTGAATATAAATGGACTATACAGGGTGTAACTGAATAAGTGTAAAACATTTGAGGAGGTGATTCCTCATCGGAAAAACTATAGAACTTTCATATAAACTTCATTGGAGCATCCCTTGTTCAGCCCCTTAAAAGGAGTATATAAAATTTGTATAACAATTTTTTTCACAAGCACTGAAAAAGTTACAATATTGAAATTAACCTGACGTTTTGTACTACCAAAAAGACACTTAGCCAGTAATTTATTTGGTTTACCCCATGGTT